TTCTTCCAGCCTCTGTCTAGAGTTCCCTTGAGGCTCCTCTTGCCTTTTGTCCTGTTGTCTGGTCCTACAGCCATGCCACATGTTGTAGGTCTTCGTCATAGTGCTTCTGGTGCCAAATTCTGTTTCAGTTGTATAATATGTAACAAATTATCCCCAAATTTTCTGATTTAATGTGACAACCATTTTACTGTCTATCATGATTCTGTAGCTTGTCTGGGCTCAGCTGGACAGACGTTTTGCTCTAAATAATGTTGGCTGGGGCTACAGTTATCTGGGGCCTTGAATGGGTTGGAATATCTGAGACGGTTCATTCTCACGTCTGGGATGTTGGTACTGGCAATCCACTGGGAGCTCACTAGGGCTGGTGACTGGCGCATCCAGTACACCTCCTTGTAGCTTCTCAGTGTGGCTTGGGTGTCTCATAGCCTGACAGCTAGGTTCCAAGAGGAAGCATCCCAAGAGTGCACGTTTCAAAAGAAAGCAAAGACAGCCAACCTCTTAAGGCGTGGGCTCAGATATACCAACATGTCACTTCTGTCACATTCTATTGCTTAGAGCAGTCAGAGGGGAGGGGAAGTAAGCACCACTTCTTAATGTGAGGAGTGCCATGCTCAATCAGGGAGGTCAGAAATTGTTAGGCCATCTTTTCAGAATAGTTACGTCACAGAGATAGAGACAGTGCGTAATGATGAGAGTCCATACACCAGGAAGACATAACAGTTGTTTACATGCATGTGCCTCATAACAGAGCTTAAATACATGAAGTGAATGTTGACAAAAATAGACTAAGTCAAAATCCCACTTATGTTGGAGATTATAGCACCCTTTCCTAGTTATTTATAGAACAAGTAGACAAAAAACTCATTAAGGATATAAAATATTTTGATAATACTGTCGTCACACTTACTTCCTATAGATAGACACTGCATACCACAGCTGCAGAATACCCATTCTCTCCAAGTGCCTATGGGATATTTACCACAGTGGATTACTGGGGCCCTCCCTCCCCTACCAGCTTCTCCTCTGCTGTACTGGTCCCACAAAGTCCAGACATTTCAGGAGCTCTGACCTCTCATCTCTACCTTCTCAGTTCAGAAGTCCACTGCTACACTCTCATTTGCCTCTACTTTTCTGGGCCACGTTCTAGAAAGTGCCCAAGCCAAAGAGCTGGGGCAAATATAGGTCTCTTTTTGGTGTTTCTCTTCTCTCAAGAATAATTCATGGTTCTGGACTTCCTAATGCTTAAAATCTGAAATGGCTTCACATATTTTTGTCCAGTTTTAGTGGGAGGGTGTGCTCATGTGAAATAAGTCCAAATAAATTTAAAAAAATCGAAATCAAGTGAATTATGATCTCTGACTACAATGGAATTAAATTAGAAATTGATTACAATAAGACGTCTAGAAAATTGACAAATATTTGAGAGTTAAACAACATATTTCCGAATAACTCATGGTCAAAGAAAAAGTGGAGGCCAGGCATGGTGGCTTATGCCTGTAATCCCAGCACTTTGGGAGGCCAAGGCGAGTGGATCATAAGGTCAAGAGATCGAGACCATCTTGGCCAACATGGCGACACCCGTCTCTACTGAAAATAGAAAAATTAGCTGGGCATAGTGTTGCATACCTGTAGTCCCAGCTACTGGGGAGGCTGAGGCAGGGGAACCGCTTGAACCCAGGAGGCAAACGTTGCAGTGAGCCAAGATCATGCCACTGCACTCCAGCCTGGCGACAGAGTGAGACTACATCTCAAAAAAAAAAAAAAAGTGGAAAATATTTTTAACTAAATGATGATGAAAATGCAACATATCAAAAATTTTCAGATGCTACTGAGGCAGTGTTGTTTAGAGGGAAATAAATAGCTTTTAAAAACTGACATTTGGAGAGAAAAGGGGGCTCAAAATTACCTGTTTCCAATTGAAAAGACAGGAGAAAAAGAGAAAATTAAACCCAGATTATGTAGAAGAGAATAAATGAAAAATTTAGGGAGAGAAAATAATGTAATGAGAAACAAAAAGAAAATTGAGAAAAGCCAAAATGCCAAAAAGCAAAAAGTTATTTTAAAAGATTAGTAAAATTGATAGATTACATTGATAAACCATTAAATGACAAAACATTAATTGCAAGATCATTAAAAAAAGAAAATTTACTATCATTAGTAAGGAAATAACTGCTATAGTTACAGAATCTAGACTTATAAAAATGATAATAATAAAATAGCATATATAAATAAATTGGACAATTTAGGTAAAATGGACTTATTTCTTAAAAAAATACAACTTACCAAAACTTACAAAATGAAACAGAAAATTTGAATAACCATATATCTATTCATGAAATTGAATTTGCAATCAAAAGCATTCCCAAAAAGAACTCCAGATTCTATCAAACAATGAAGAAGAAAATAATCTCAATCTTTTAGAAAACAGAGAAGGAAGCACTTCCCAACTCATTTTAAGGGCAGCACAACCCAAATACCAAAACCTGGAAAAGGTATGACAACAGGAAATTACAGACTAATGTTCCTCATGGGCATAGACATAAAGGTCTTTAACAAAACACAATTTGGGGAGTGGACTTATCTGGAGGTTCCAGCATGGCTTTGTTCATATGTCTGTGCCTTGGCATGGATTCAGCCTGGTTTCAAGGTAATGAGGCATCTTGAAACCAGGCTGGTGGCTTGGGGCTCCCAAAGAAATCAAGATACCTGGACCCTTTTCACAAGATGGTGCCAAAAGCAAAGAAGGAAGCTCCTGCCCCTCCTAAAGCTGAAGCCAAAGTGAAGGCTTTAAAGGCCAAGAAGGCAGTGTTAAAATGTGTCCACAGCCACAAAAAAAAAAAGGAGATCCACAGGTCACCCACCTTCTGGCAGCCCAAGACACTGCGACTCTGAGGCAGCCCAAATATCCTCAGAAGAGCACCCCCAGGAGAACAAGCTTGACCATTATGCTATCATCAAGTTTCCATCTACCATGAAGAAGACAGAAGACAACAACACACCTGGGTTCGTTGTGGATGTTAAAGCCAACAAGCACCAGATCAAAAAGGCTGTGAAGAAGCTCTATGACATTGATGTGGCCAAGGTCAACACCCTGATTCAGCCTGATGGAGAGAAGGCATATGTTCAACTGGCTCCTG